CCTTTTTTAGGTTTTTCTTTCCTTTTTTCTTACTTACTTTGGCTTTTTTTTGTTTCCTAGAAACTTTTGGTTTTTGCTTTTTGGAAACTTTTGGCCCTTATGTTGTTGAAGCAACCACATTTCTAGCTTTCACTGTGGCATTTTGTTTTTTCTTCATGCTTTTTGATTGATAAACAACCCATTCACCTTCATTATCATTGTTGATAGTGATTAGGTTAGCAGATGCTTTCTCTTGAGGAGGGAGCTCGATAATCTTAGAGTCCAAAAGTTCCTGAATTTTATCTTTCAGAAGAAAGCACTCTTTTATCGAATGGCTAATCAAACGATGGTAGGGGCAATACTTTGGATCGTTCATTTTTCCTACCTCATGTTGTCTTTCACCTCAAGGAGAGCAATCAACTTTTGCTCCAACAGATCTTCAAATAAGTCCTCAACCAGATCATCCGTGAAAGAATATTTCTTCTCCAACCTCTCTTTCATAGTCACCTTATTAAATTCCTTAGGCTTTTTAGCCCCTACTACAACGGGACCCTTCTTTCTGGTTTCAATTATAGTTGCAGTCGAGGACTTAACCCTTTCAACGACCCTAAGCCTCCTTCGTTTAGCTAGATGCAGCTCCATATCATCAGCTCTAGTGCATAGATCGTTGAATCTTTCAAAAGTTTGAGCCATAAGAGCCATAGAGAGCTCATGTCGGAAGTTGTTAAGACACATCCGAATTAACTCTAATTGCGTAAACTTTTGAGGACAGCCAAATGTCAAAGCTCGCCATCTTGCAATGAAATCTGTAACAGACTCATTGTCACGTTGCTTGGTCTCAATCAGTTCTGGTACTCCAACTCGCCTTTGTGTGTTGCAGAACTGTTTAAGGAACTTCTTCACCATGGAATCCCAATTTGGGATTAATCCCTCGAGAAGGTTAACATACCAAGTAAATGCAGAACTTTCAAGTGATTGGACAAATAGCTACAAGCGCAGGGCCTCATTCTGGGCTATTGGCCCATATCTTGAAAGAAAATGAGCCACATGTCGTCTTGGATCTCCTGTTCCATCAAACATTTTGAAATCTAGTTGGGAAAAACTAGAAGAGAATGGAACAGCATCTACCCAAGCTAGATAAGGTTTTGTAATTATTCGAAAGTTCTCATCATCTTTTTCCTTGACTTTCTTTACTTGTCTCCTCACCATATCATCAATTACAGCCATGAGCATTGGATTCATACCACCACTGGTTAGATCAGAGTAACAAGGACCATTGCCCCCTAGGGCTAGTGTGCTTTGTATGCCTACGGATGTCCCCATAATAGGTTATGCCATTTGTTTGGGTGCACTTCCTATTCCTGTCATTTGGGCCTGCAACCATTGCATTTGCTCCAACATAGCAGCCATTTCCCGTTCTCTTCTCTCAAGTTGTTCTTGTAGGGCCACCACTTTTTCCTTGAGACCTTGGTCTTGTTGGACCTGCGAATTTTCACCTTCTTTCTCAACCTCAGTCATCATAACTGCAACTTTGTTGACATCTCTCAATTCATTGTTTCCAATATCCGTTGAAACAGTCGAGATAGAATCATCTTGTTCGTACAAAGGATAATCAACCCCCACAACATTACTCATATTTGAAGCATTTGACTGCGACGCTTTGTTTTGAGCCTCACAGGTTATAGACCTTGTTACAGGCCCTTTTCTTATTCCCTCCATAGATAGTTTGATCAAGGTAGAAATATTTCCCAAGGGTTGCTTACCCTCCTCCACCTTTGACTTTCCAACAAAGACAGGACTTTCAATTTGTTTTTGGCGGTTCATCTTTCGAGAGAGCCTTTTCAATAGTCCTATAACATTTGTCGCCACTGTTCTTAGTTCCAATTTCTTGAAGGCTTTATTTCTTCTTCGCCTTTGTCTTTTCGAAATTGGACCATCTGATGATATATCAAGTCAAACCCCTAGGGACATAGAAGGAACCGTTTGCGTTTTTGCAAATTCCTCATGAATTTTCAAAACAATCCCTACATTTTTAGAGCCGACCAATTGATGTTGATTCAAATCCCGTTGGGCCAACAAGTGTTCCTTATTTGAACCTTATCGGGCCAACAGGTGTTCCTTATTCGAACCCTGTCGAGCCAACGAGTGTTCCTTTAGCTCCTGAGAGTTGACTAAGATTTGGTTTGACCGATTTTATGCTCTGAACAGAACTGTCGGTTCGTAGGCCACATCTGTTTTTTCAACAACAGGGGCCTTTTTTCCCTTAACAGGAGTTCGAGTCATTACCCTCCTCCCAATGGCCATAATGATGGCCATGTTTTCAGCAGAGGCCCTCTTTTGGGCAGACCCCACCATTTTAATGAAGTCTTCTACCCTTATGAGTAGTTGGGCCACAACATTTCTTGTTGCGCCTGCTGAAGCTGCAACAAAGGCCATAGTTGCAACCTGATTAGCCTCTTTTGCCTGAATTAGAAAGCTCTTCGTTCGAGCTGTAGCCCTCACAGTTGCGTACTGCTTCGACGCTTTCACATAATCTTCAGTAATCTTTCTCAAACTTTCAGCTTTCTGGAGAAGTGTGACTTTCTTCGTCACACCAGTTACCTTTGGGACAGCCAAGAGCTTTCGCTCCGGAGCGCCTTGGGCAATAAGGGAAAGAAGGACATCTTTCCAGGATTTCGTTGCTTCTACCTTTGGGACAGCCAAGAGCATTCGCTCTGGAGCCCCTTGGGTGATGGGTGCTACCTCCACCCTTGGTGATTTCAGAACCACTGAACTGTAGGTTTGTCTCTTGACCGTTGCTTCAGCATTCCTATAACAGAAGAATACGTCAATAAGTTTCAACTATATATATATATATATATATTTTTGTTCTTCAAAAGATGGGAGAAGAAATAAGTCCCACTGAGCGTGCCAGAATTTGTAGACACAAATTTTAAACATGAAACACATTTCAAAATTTTATGTTACAAATGTCCACTGTTTAGTTTTTTAGACTAAATAGTGTTAATTATTTGAATAGCAAGTTCCTATTTCCGATTTGTATTTTAGATCGTTAATTACACATTTTATATAAATGAAACCTCCGATTAATGAAGAACAAAATAAATAACGTAAGACAATTTAAGAAAAATAAATATTTTATTGAAATTGTTATAGGTTTTGAACTCTCAAACACAAAGTACAATTCTTGGGTTTGGAACCCTTTACCTATTCATCGCCATTCTGCGTTTGTAGCGTAATTTCTTGAGTTCTCTAGACTTCTTTTCTTCTAGCTCTTGATTTCTTTCTCTCTCTCTCTAATATTCTCACTTTTGATTTTCTAATCCCCCATCTAGTGTGATGGTCCTCATATTTATAGAGGGCCATCTAGGTGATAAGAATGCCTCATCCCCAATTTGAATTTCAAATTGAATGATAGCGCTATTTGAAATTTGAATTTTGAATTTTAAATTTTAAATGATAGCGCTATATAATTAATCGTATATCTGATTAACCGGATTGATCTTTGAGGTTTCATCCTGTATGATGTCCTTACTGTAGGCTCTACAAGTGCCATTTTTCGTAGGCTCCACGTGTCACTTAAGCATCTTGAATAACGTCGTTGAGTTACGTCGTTTTATTTATGCACTTCAACGGATCATATTGATCTTTTTAGGAAGTGATTACCTACAACCTTGCTATCATAGGCTCTATATATGTCATTGACCGTATTTGAAATTTATGTGCCAACACTCATTAATGAAATTGTTCAAGCTCATTGACCCATTAAACAAGCCTCATAAAAGCTTAATACCTCAAAGTTAAATTGATTAAGAACCAGTTCCAACAACAATAGGTTCAGTTCAATCAGGTTTGGCAATTTTGGAAGTAAGCTTCAGTGGATTTAGAAACTTTAATCATGAGAACAAGTTATTTAAAAACTTCAAAAAATTTCAACACATAATATAAAAGCCTGAAAAGGTACAACGAAAAGAAATAGACATCATCACTATGCTGTAATCACTAATTTGCATCAGTAATGAAAAGAGTGCGGGACTCTGCCACAGATCAATCTTTAATTACACTAATCAACAAACTGGTAGGCCTGTAAACAAGGTCAAGGTCAACCAAAAAATACAGGGGTTAATTAGTGTGAAACCCTACTAGATGATCTTATAGAAGTATAGGTCTCATAGGAAATCTATTAACCCATGTAATCACACAGAAATTTATTAGCTGAACTCCTATTTTTAAATTCCCATCTCATTTTCAAACAGTTTTACCCTTGGAATCACAAACCAGCAGCAATGTGTGTGAGGCATTAACATGTTGGGTGATTATTTTTTGTGTTTCAGATCAAATCAATCTGTAAAATAGAATAACTTTCAATGTATACATCAATTTTTTTATAAAATTCATATTTTTTGAAACCATTGGCCAAGATATATCAAAAAAGATCCATATTCAAAACTAAGAAATTTCTTAATTTTTTCGATATTGTGCAATTTCTTAGTTCAAACCGAGATTTGTTTTGAAACAAACAAATTTCTCACTTTCTAGACCCCACAAAATGTCGATCCCAGTGACCAGAAACAGGAATTTTTCTCAAAACTTTGAAATTTCTCAGTTTCAAAAAAGCACTTCTTTTTCCTGGTTACGCAATATCTTGGGTGAAATAGACAATAATAATAAACTCCAACATGCCATTTAAGCACAGGTCAAGCTCAATTTAAATTTAAACAAGCTTAGTTAAACAGACCAATTGGCTTTGCTGGGTTGACAGCCACCTCTTAGGTTAATGGAACACAACATAAAATGATTGTTTCCCAACATGCACATCATGAACATAATTTGATCAGTAATATCTGGTTTTAAAATTAATCATAACATATCTTATCATCTTGTAGTAACTCAAGCATCATTTTCTGTTATATTTAATAACATGCATATCATGCTCTTTTACAAAGGTTAATGAGATTTGATACGGTAATGCTAACAAATTTTGTGGAAATGCATTACAAACTGAAATAACCAACACTCACTTCGCAACTTTCTCAGGTGTGACATATAAAAGCTTGTATTTGCAATAATCTGAGCAAAGCTCTCTAAATATCTCCTGTTGATCAGTCCACTCCATATTCGCACTTAAATAAGCAGCAGGTATGTTTGCCTATAGCGTAACCCAGGAAATAAAAATGTCAAGTTAAATAAGACATCTTATGAAACCAGATGAAAACAAAGGTGTTCCTGAATTAATAATCTAGCTGACATTACCTGCAACAGATGCATTATTTGATCTTGGATGAGTGACACAAGAGGTGAAATTACCAATGTTATTCCTTGACAAATAAGAGCAGGGAGCTGCAAGAAAATAGTACTCAAAACAAGTCCAATCCTAAAATCTCTAATTTCCTAAAACATATGACAGTAACTATAATAATATTATACATGCAAGACTAGTCACATAATCTATGAAAGTGACATAACAAACCACTAGCACCTTTGAGATAGAGAAAGCTTGCTTTGTTGAAATACAAACTGGACCAGCACGTCAAATGCATTTGCAAAAAAATTTCAACCATCAATAATTTAAATGGAAAAACCATAAACACAAAATGAAGCATTAAACAGGTTCGTACACTCTTAAGTTTTACACTATTAGGATTCATTAGCTTCATTATATAAAATCCTAACAGTTGCTATCTAAGAAGCACAAATACGGACATGTCAATAAGGTAATTTTTTTAAGGTGTAGGATACGACACGTGAAAGACATGAGCAAAACATACAGTTTTATATATTTATTATATGTCATATATATGAATATTTCATTTAAAGATAATTAAAATGTGGAACATAACACTAATTCCTGAAGTATAAAGGACGAGTGATTAATAAATGTAAGTCTACATTGTTTTCCTTTTATCATCAAATCCCAAGTTATTTTCTTCAATTTTGTAATATGTTTCATGTGTGTCTAAGGGATATACATGGGTGTCCGCCAAGTGTCCAAAGCGTATCCAAATCTTTTTTTTTTTAATAATAGGGCAAGTTTGGACGTGTGTCTAACACATGGTGGGAAATGTTTGACATTGACACAACACCTTAGAAGTGCCCATGCTTCTTAGGTTGCTGTCAAGAATCAGAGTGCATATTCTTAGCATGACCATAATAAAGCACCTTCATTGACAAAGTTTATAAAAAATTATTTTACCTGATACGTCAAGCTTTTTCCTCCTCCGGTTGGCATTAAAACAAAAACATCATGTCCACTCATTGTAGCATTGATCACCTCCCTCTGGTTGGGCCGAAAGGAATGATTTCCAAACACTTTCTTGTTACTGGCCTGTGAGCAGAACCAACAAAGACAATGAGAACAACATTTAGTATGGATTAGATTTCAAATTAAATATACCAATGAAATATGTTGACCAATCAATAAAAAGAAAAGGAAAAAGTATATTTGCACTAATTTGATACACACCTCCAGCTTATTTGTCCAAGGGAAATCCCGACTACTCCATTTTTTGTCATTTGAACCTTCAATATAATTGACTTCAACATACTTTGGAACATACGGTTCTCTCTCCACAGGGAATGAGGAAGCACCAAACATATCTACGGAAGATGAAAATGAGGATGAGTTCCACCCATCATATCCATCAGCACGATTGATGATTTGAGACTGTGCATCAGCCCTAGTGGAATCAATCCTGAATTCGAATGTTGGAGTCCCATATTGAAAAGCTCTAGGAGGGGCAGTGGATGCAGAAAATTGCGATTTTTGTCTTTCCTCATCAACTGGTATAGTTTGAAGATATTTCTCAAGCTGTTGAACTTGCTTATTCAGCTTCAACCTAGCAGTCAATTGCAGGTATGCATAAAGAGGAATCAGATAGGTTTTGTACATGCTCTGAATAGAGTAATACAGAAATGGGGGATAAGCGAAAAAAGAAAAAGAAGAGAAAGAATAAGAAGATTGCTGATGCAATACTATCTATGTGACACCTTTTGTGATGGTCCTAGTTGCCCAAAAATCCTATGCACCTTTGTTTATTTGTATGTTTTCCCATGAATTTCTCCTCCGTCGATATGAATAAAAACACAAAAACAGGAGGAGAAGCAAACCTGTCATGGCGAAGCTTCTCTATTTGATCTGAACTTAGGTCAGCAGCATTGTCAAGAAGCTCATTTGATATGGCAATGAGCATGTCCTTCATATCTTGTAAATGATTTGACGCTTCTGGACAAAGTCCTAGCTGTATCAATTTCAGGAATCAAACATGACGTCCTGACAGTAATTGAGAGGGCATCACAATAGAATAGGTAACAAAACAATTCAATACCATAGAACCATGACTGCAGTTCGAGCACAACTCTGGTGGCAAACATGTCTCATCTCTTGCAGCATTATTTTTACCTACAGTTGGAGTAATAGGGGGAAGCTTTGAAATTGATGGTTGAGGTGTGCAAGTTGATTGGTAGTGTTCCAAAACTATTTGGTCCACATCAATGTTCTGAAACACAAAGTTGATGGTGAGATATAAGATGTATGCACATAAACCGAAATTTATTCATATATGTCTAACATAACATGAAGTATAATTCAGACGAACTCAGTTTCTAGTATTTATTCAGGAAAAAAAAATACAAGTAAATTCATCCAAAGGTTGGCTAAGTAATTACAATAACCTAAACCATTAGCTAAATGGCATGGCTTTTGCCTTTTCATAAGCCTTAATGCTCTATTGACTCGGTGATAATGAGCAAGTCTTGAGCATTTGCTTATAATACTGTTGGCATCACCAGACAAGGCCAATTCAACATAACTGAGTTAATTCTAAATTCACAGGGTGCTCACAAGAGAGTCCTAACCTGAATAACTTCTTGTCAAATTTGCCTTAACATAGTAGATTCAGGTCAAACAAAATTTTCATTTGATTCTGTCCCATAAGTCCAAACAATGAATTACCTCGAGTATGTCGTCATCACCAATACAATCGGGAGACATGTCCACAGAACCTTTCACTTGACTTGTCTGTGCCATATGATTGCTGGATATTCCATTTGTAGCTCGTGCAAAAGAACTATTGATCATTGATGTATACCTCTCATTTTGCCCCTTTGAAACCTTTCCATCTTCTGCTACGCTACTTGGATGTAATGGAAAAGAAACACCAATGCACTGTGTGGATTCACCAATTTTGGCATTTGTTCCACTTAAATTTGTGTGTGTTTGCATATGTCCTGAAAAGCTGTTATTCACATTTGATAGGCTTTGCTGAGTAGTTCTTCTGACATTCTGCAATGCGTTAGCATTAACGTCCTTAACAACTGGTACAGTTTTTCCAGGTTTTGCATAGTTCCTGCAAGATAAATGACGACTGGAAAGAACTTGCCAAGCCTGCAAAAAGCATACAATCCAAAAGTAAACACCACATGAGAACAATAACCATGACAGCAGCTAAACCAATAATAATATATCTGAATTCGTATGGGCTAAAATCAAGCAAAAAGCATTCAAGGGAAACACGTTTATTTCTAAACTTAAAGCAAAACTAATCTCACTGAAGGCACTATATTTCCTCTTGTTATTAAAAGAAAATATAGTAAGAGAATAAAAGTATGGGCAAGAAGAGAGGAGAAGGAAAAAAATCACCTCAAGCCACACACACACACACAAACACAATTTAAATAATAATTTAAGAAAAACAATGGGACAACAATTTACAGTATCCTCATCACAAAAGCAGCATTTTTTAGTGAAGCAAAACAAATAAATAAACAAATAACAATCAACATGGCAAGACAAGTACTCATAATAACTAAGTTACCAACTGAATCAATTGATCGTAAAATTTACCCCAAATCACCTGCTTAATAGTGTCATTACCTTTTCAACTTGTGTGGCCTGCACGCTTTGAAGATTCAGAACCTGACAAGCCATTGACCTACAATGGATGGGGAGAATAATATAACAAAAATTAAATGATGGAAGTATCGGTCAATTTCAATATCAATATCATATGATTAGAACACACTTGTATACATCCAAGGAAACATTTCTTCAAACTACTCTAGAACTGCAAAGTAAAGAGGTTAAAAAAAAAAAAGGTCTTGCAATTAAGAATTTTTAGTTGAAAATTCAAAAATGGAAAAATATAGGTTGCGTTTGGTAGAGTTTTGTAAATATGATTTGTGAGTATGAGTTGTATTTTGAGTTTGTGAGTTTTGGAATTATGATTTGAGTGTGGAAAATTTGTTTGGTGAAAGAGTTTTGAATTGAGTGAGATTAGGCCAAATTTGAAAAAAAAATAAAAAAAATTGGAAATCGCTCCTGAGACAGAGTTTTCTGCAGAGTTTTGAAAACGTGATTTGAGAACAACTTCCAAACATCATATTTGAATGTGGGTCTAGAATCATTGTTTGGAAACACAACCATAGTTTTTTTTTTGTTAAGTGTTTCAGTTGAAAATTCAAGATTCACAAAACATGGTTTTTTGTAGGCCCTAAACTTTTAAGTTTTAATAAGATGTTAAGAAACATTCGAGATATAGAAAAGACAAAGTGAAACTGCAAAATGGCTCTGTCAAGTAAAAGAAAATAATAAACATGACATGAGAACAACTCTACTCTTAAAAATGACATTTGTTACTCTCAACAACAAAGGATTCAATTGCCGAAAATTGAAAGAGATCTAATGAATTATGGTCACTCATGAAGTACTTTTCCAGATTCCTTTATAAAGATCTTGTAGTGTATTAGAGAATTGTTACAAGAGATGCTAGGGAACATAAAAAAAGGATATGTTCTGCACACTAATAGAATGGAACAAGTAATGCTTGTTATAAATAACATCAGTAACATACCTTGCGCTTGTTGATGCTCCAGTACAAGGTTTTTGTGCAGACAACGAGTAAAGAAAATTTGAACTCAATAACTTATTTTGGTTTGAAAAACTATCATGTGCATTGGCATGTTGCAACCAGTTAACTCTAGGCAGTTTGTCACCACATTTAGAACCTCCAACGGAATTGGTTCCACTGCATCTCAACCAAAAATAAGAAATAAGTCAAAATATATAAATGTAAAACGAAATAGAAGGATTAGGAATACAATTATTAGCTTGCCTCATGTGTTGTTCCTTCATCACTACTTAACATCTTTGCCTATTGCAACTTATGGTCCCCTCAAAAACAACATATGAAAACAGCAACTTGCCAAACACAATTCCACTCACGGCTAACTCAGGGCAAAAGATCCTACAAATAAGAAAGCAATTCAAGTCCACAAGTAATTTAGAAAAACATAGAAAATATGAAAACAAAGCAGTGAATTGCTAAACAATGAAACATGAAAACAAATGAACAAGAGTGCATACAAGAGGATGGGCATAAATCTAAAGACGGTACTTATTGCTCTTGCCTTGAATAACTTTCTTTAGTCATCTGTGAAGACAGTTCATTAACTTAACCATGCCCATATACCAAAAACCTGCAATTAAATTAACAAATAAGTAATTGGTTCAAGCCAAATAAATAAAAATATTAATCACCAGTGTCAAGTAGTTCAAAACAAACAAAAAAAATATAACTATGAATTAGTGGTTTCCAAAAATAATGTTGTGATCCACGAGTTAACATGCACTAAATGAGGGCAGAAGTAATACATGACTCATACTTGCAGCTACCTTCATACAAACACATAAGCTGGATTCAGCAGTCTATTAACCAGTAAATTCTTTAGCGAAATTTAGTAAGATAGCTTAAGTGGCACCCATCAGTATGGTTTTTTTGTTGGCTTTTTTTAAAGCCAATAAGCTGGTTTATTAACTCCTCACAACAGAACACTGAGTATTTAGAATCAAGAATGTCCCAGTCATCCACAAGTTACTCTAGGTTTGTCAAAATTTGACCTACCATTACCTCTCTAAGTCATTAAAACAAACTAAATGGACCACTCAACCAAATCACTTTAGGCACACTTCTAATGAAAATGATTTTTTTGAACACCAAAATCAAATTTCCAGGAATAAGGAGCTCTGAAATGATGTTAGACGTGATCCAATGTCCAGATGAAATCAAGTAAGTTACCGCCTTTGTCACGTCATCTTGGATTTACACCTAAAACTGGATGCTATTTTTATTGTATAATGAATCGATTAAGTAACCATTATCTTTGAGCATATGACTTACTCTAAGGAAAAGAGATAGAGCAGTTAAAACAGCTCAACAAATACTTAAGCATCTTGTCACGTGGCTTGTCCCTATATCCACAGTTCTTAATGAACCAAGAATGGCTTCTAGGACACAAAGCCATTAAGGATTACAAGAAGAAACTGATTTTGGAAATATCAAGAAATCAACCTCACAAAAAACTAATAAAAGGAAAAGAAATGATTATCACGGAACAAACCCCACCCTAAGAGTTAGGGCCATGACCGGCCATTGTAGTAGAAGCTACCCGAGGCCAATTCAAAATCCACTAGTGCAAACAGCAAAAACTTTGATTGTGGAATATAAGCGTCTTATAATTTATTATAATAATAGAAAAGGTGGTTAATCTTTCGTTGAAATAATAAATCATGTGCCTAGCTTGTGGGTAGTTTACTCACATCCCTTGTATTCTTCATTCATTCATACATACATCACTTTACATTACATTCAAAAGGTTTGCATGGAAAAGGGAGAGGTTTTGGCGTAGGGTGGTGGCGGCAAAGTACGGGTTGGGAGGAGGGAGCACAGTTCTAAGGTAGTGGGGGATTCTCATGGTAGGGGCTTGTGAAAAGGCATTTGGATGGTGTGGAGGGAGTTATGGAGGTGGGTTGGCTTTCAGGGTAGGGAAGGGGAAAAGGGTGCAATTTTGGAAGGATGGGTGGTGTGGGAATCAGAATCTTACTTCTTTATTCCTGATGATTTTTCGACTTGCAATGGTGGCTACCTATTTGGTGATGGATAAGGGGCAAGTGGTTTGGAATGTAAGGCTATGCCAACAAATCCAAGATTAGGATGTTAGACAGTTAGTGGATTTGATAGTTTTTTTGTATGGTGTTAGAGAGCTGGGTGTAGGAGACAATTGTTTAATGTGGCAGCAATAGGGTGCTAAGGGTGTTTTTTCGGTGTTGTATTTTTTTCGAGCCTTGGTGGGAGATGAAGACACCCTTTTTCGTGGAGTATTTGAATTGCTAGAACTCCTTCCAAGGAAGCATTCTTTGTGTGGACAATGGCGTTAGATAGGATTTTCACAATTGATAATCTTGTTTGTTGTCAGCGAATTTTGGTTAATTGGTCTTGTATGTACTGTAAGAATGCAAAGTCAATTTTTTTGTCGTCTTCTTCAGTTCTCTGTGACATATCAACTTTAGGTGTTCTTTCCTATGTTTGGTATAGTTTGGGTGCAACAACAAAATGTTGACAACATTTTTCACAACTGGTGAGGGGGTAGGGTTAGGAAAAGATGTAGGAAGGCATGGGCTCTTGCACCTCCTTGTCTGATGTGGATGATTTGGCTAGAATGTAATTGACGGATTTTTCAAGGGGTGGAGGAGCATGTGGCTCGTTTCAACTTTGCAGGATAGGCCTTTGGTGATTTTGTATAGTTGGGTTTTGGGAAGATTACCTGTAGATTTGTTTTCTTTTATGGATTTTATAGATACTCTTCATGTTTAGGGATGGTTTTTTTTTTCTATTGATTATTTTTCTTTGTATTTGTTAGCATTGTTTTGATGCTTTTCAATTAATAATATCGACTTTTATTTATCAAAAAAAAAAACCGTAGCAAATGTTAAATTCATGATGCTAAAACATAAATCTTCTTCCAAATAGGATTTGTATATGACTATACGTACACATCCAAGTTCCATAAGCATGTAGGTCACAATGAAAGCTTTTTAGTGAGGGTTCTCAGGCCATAAACCTCTAAATCTCCTTTGTCTAATCTCCAACACATGAAATCATAGGTGAGATTAAGGATAACAAGTGAGTTAGCTGTTCATGTGAACCAATTAAACTCACTCTTAGGCTTACAAGGCCTCATTGAGTCACAAGAGTTGTTTTTCCTTCATAACATACCCAATTAGCCAAACAAGGATTTAACTTCCTAATTGATTCCCAAATTCCTTTAGGATCTTCCTAAAACTGCGGCGGCCACAAAATAAAAAGATTCTCTTACTAGTCTTCTATCAAAATTTCCATATAAATGTGGTTTCTAATTATCAGGACATTACACACACATAACCATGCATGTACACTGGTTATTTTATTTTATGCTTTAATCTTAATTTTTATTTTGGGGACGCCTTTTTATGGATTGGGCACGCCTTTTGATGGCACGCCTTTTGAAAAATTGGGCACACCTTTTGAGGGTACAACTTTTTTAGGGGTCCGACAAGACTCTGTAAACTGTCCCGACATTGATTCCGGTTAGCTCCTTTATGGGTCCGACAAGACTCTGTAAACTGTCCCGACATTAATTCCGGTTAGTTTCTACAAGGGTCCAGCAAGACTCCGTAAACTGTCACAACATTGTCTGCTACAACGGTCCGACATGACCTCATAAACTGTCTTCTACATCGGTCTGACACCGCCATCCAGTGTCCTCTACATGACACCACCATACAGTGTCCTCTACAACGTTATGACACCCACATACAGTGTCCTCTACAACGTTATGACATCACCATACAGTGTCTTCTACAACGTTATGACACCACCATCCAGTGTCTTCACCAATGGTCTGACACGACCATACAGTGTCTCCTATCCTCTTTTATTTTATGTATTAATGTATTTTCTTGTTTTGTTACTCTCTCCAAACTCAAGTTGGTTAGTTCCTATCCCCTTGAGTTTGCGGGGGGCTGTTAAAACCTATCACCTACTTCACCCACTAAACCTAACCCACTACACCACTACCACCTCACCTACTCCACTAAACCTAACCCACTACACCACTACCACCTCCACTTTACCTACTCCATCTACTACCTACTACCACCTACTCTTCTATATATAGGAATCATTGTAACAATCAATATATCAATCAATAATAATACATACAATTTATTCTCTCTCTTTCTCTATACATTATTTCTTACAGGTGTCATATGGATCCTCCTGGAATCCTTCAGTTTTAGGACTCCATTGCAATTCTCAAAGCTTGCACTTTCCGCCTGTGTTGTTGGAGAGACAAGTCTACCAAATGATAGATTTTCACCCATATGTGACTAAAGGTCATCTAGTCTTCTAACCATACACCAAGCATGGAAAAAAGCAAGTTACACCAATGACTACGATTTCAAGTCAACGAAATTAGCCCTTATTGCTTTATGCAATGAAAGAAATTGGCAGATAATTATATTGGGGTGAGGGAAATATAAGAGAGATTAGATTCATCTGACTTTCAATAGTTCCAATTTATCCACTTCAAACATCTGTAGCTGATTCTGCTGCAATCAGCAAGCCTTCAGAATCATATATTACAAGGGTGTTTGGGAAGTGAGTTTTTATGTAGGTTTTTTTAGTTGTAGGATATTATTGGATAAAAAATTTTTAGTGTTTGGGAAGATAGTTGGGTTTTTTTGTGGTTGGATGTGATGTTTGTGAGAGAAAAAGTGAAATGATTATGGGGTTGGATGTGATTTTTTGTTTGTATTTGTTTTTTTTGATTTTGCAAAACCTTTGTCTTTTAGTGGAAAAAATGAGAAAAAAATCTGGGAACTTGGTTCCCAAACACCACCTACAATATATATGACTGGGTCGTAACTCCAAAAGTTGTCTTTTTGACCTTTGGTTCTTGCATATGACCTTAATCTATTCACATGTATGGAGAAAAGTTGATCGAATGTAGTTCATAAATTGAATAGTGATAAATAATTCTTTTGTTGTATCATCAAAGTTTACTCTGCCTATCTTTCTAGATCTGCAATTGAAGCTTCATCCATTTTCTAACAACTCATTCACATAATATGAAGTATCTTTTGTAAATAAAAATTAAAGCTAGATTTTCAAATGTGTATGTGTATCTATAAACTAGCATTGGCATCACTAGCATTCTTCCTGTCTAGGTTGACAATGAATCATACTTGCCCAGCTGCATTTCAAGTCTAACAGTGTGAACATGCTATGAAAAAATTATACAGTTCTGTTGTTCTGTTCATAAGACTAGCATTCTTGTGCAAGGCAGAGAAACATGCTAATTGGTTATGTAGATGGATTTGACAATTTGGTAGAAATATATTGTGAAGGTAGAACATGTAAAATGCAGATGACATGGTCATATAATCCTTACTCCCTTTTATATTTAACTTTAGTAATCAATAACAAGTAATATGACTATTAAATTTTAAAAAAACTGTCATATTTTTTTTTTCCTTAATAAAATTGCCATATGTTACTGATCTTTCTAAGCGTGATTAAACTCAGTGGATATGTAGTCAATCCGCCTATTTACAAATGAAAAACAGTTAGAAGTCAATTTTGCTTCTAAAGGAATACTTGCAACTTACCCTTTCTTATCACATCAAACATTGATCCCACACAAAGGTCAAACCTCCAAAATTTATAAACTTAACACCCTATTTCCCCAACTTATGAAAACAAAAGCTAGCACCAGCTTAGAGGTCCACCTGATGTAATCATATCAAAGATCTTGATTTGCGTCCTTTGAGCATTCCCACATTACCCAAATAAAAACACACCATTAAATAAAAAAATGGGCATTTATTCATAAATTCCTCTTCACCTACTTATATTTCACTTAGGATTGTTTTGGAAAGTTGGTTAAAAGTTTTTTTTTTTTTTGCTTTTTTTAGTTTTTTTTTAAAAATGTGTAAACAAGTAGAGAGGTGATGTGACCAAAATAGGTTAAAAGTCAAAATTTAGCTTTTAACCAAGTTCCCAAATTAGCCCAAATTATTTTCTTATGTTCCAATGGATGACATAATTATCAAAATGCCCCTAATAATAATAGGGTAAAACATGCATTAATGTTCACATAGATAGTGTAAATGTTCCATGATGTGAATATTTATACTGTCAAATTTATTTATTTATTTTATAAAATTACATATTCAAGTGAGATCTTATTTGATAGATCTCATTAATTAGGTTTCAAAAATATAAATTTCATAAAAATACATATATCTGTGTACAACAAAAATTATGAATTTTTAAAGTATAATATATAAAAAGTGCAAAATAATCCACACCAAGTTGCTAAGGGTTGAAAAATATTTGTAAAGGTAAAATTGTCTATAAAATACCTTAAATATGAGAAGTTGGATTTGGTGATCTAATAAATTCCCCATAAAAAATAAAAATAAAAACAAAATCTTAAGAAAAATATTCAATTTCTGTTTAAGTGCTTTCATTAATTAACTGATAGTTCAACAAACTGTATCTTCATTTGGGAATGAAATGCGAAAAATAAACAAACAAACCCTAGAAATTAAACAATGAAGCTATAAACAGACATTGAAACTGAACGAGTAACTCTGGTAATGTAGAACAAGCTAATCCTGATTTATATAGAACGACAATCAAACAATCAGAGATCTGAGAGTCAATATATGACAAATTAATGCTTCAGAAAAAATGAAAAAAAAACAACATAGTTACCAGAAAATCTGTGTGGGATGGCCACGGATGTAGAGAGAGAAAGTGTGCCTTATCTGTGAGAGAGAGAGAGAGAGAGAGCGAGGGAAAAATTGGGGTTTCAAATCGCAGCGCGGTGTGGATTGGCGGGCTACGTTAAGGGAAGGTTTTCATTTTCGGGAATGTTAACATTCACATCCAAAGAAATGTGCTAATGTGAATAATGTAGTTGGAAAATTCACACTAGGGAATATATTTGGAGGTTAGGTTTCAAATTTGATTTTCTTTCTTATGCACTCTATTTTCTTCATTTATTTATTTTTTTAAATTAAAAACAAATTTTTGAACAAAATTCTGTTCTTACCTAGTAATTTTTAGGAACAATTACAGTTCAATGTAAGTTTTTCTAAATAATTTCAGATTAGTAATAAATTTTATGAACATTAATCACTTTGTTTGGTTCTATTTTTTCCAAATATTTTATTTTTTGTTTTTCATATTTTTTTAATATTTTAAGTAATTTTTTTTACTTTTACATAAATATATATAAAAAGTAAAAAAATTGTCAAAAAAAACCTTTTAAAAATTCACTAAATATCAAAAAATACAAAAAAAAAAATGAGAATTCAATACATTTTTTGTATTTTTATATATTTTTAAATTTTTAAAAATATTTTTTCACAAACTTTTATTTTTTAGATACATCTACGTAAGGTGCATCTAAAAAAAATATTTAAAATTTTAAAAATATTCACTAAAAATAAAAAATAAAAACACGAAAATTAAAAAACTCAATTTTTAAAAAACTCAATCGAAAAAACTCAAATGCCCACTGAATAATTAAAAGTTTAAATTTTTTCATAAATTTATAATCATTTTGTGAAAACCCCACTAAATTATAATTTTTTAAAATTTTTACATTTGTGGAAAAATTATGATGAGAATTGCAAATTTTTAAAAATTAAGTAAAGTGTTTTGTTTTTTTATAATAAAATATAAAATAAATGTTCACTCGGTCCAGGAAGGGTGTTGTCCAATATTATGAGCATATTGTAGGTTGCAATTTGATAATTCAATTATTTTAATTTGTACACTTTTATGTGTATATCACTATCAAACAATAAGATTGATCGTATATCGTAATTAGATGATATGAGTATATTTATTTTCAAAGAAAAATAAAGAATGTTAAATCAAAATGAGCAAAAAAGAATAAACGTGCAGGCAAACTTGCAAATTTAAGCGTAAAAATAGGATGAAAATGTTTGAGGATCCTCCTGGCATTTTTTAAGCTTTAAGGGTTGTTTGGAATGATCTAAATAAGTATATATTTTATCTTTTTACGAAAAGATGTGCAGAAAAGTAAGAGGTGATCTGATAAAAAAAGATAAAAAAATAAAAAAATGAATTATTTATAAAATACCAAACCAGCCCTAACTAACTTTGTTAAGAGAGAGAGAGAGAGAGAGAGAGAAACTCTCTAGTTTTCTAAAACTTTCTTTAACTTCTTATGAACCTAAAACAAAAAAACAAAAACAATACATAATCATATACCCAATGAATGCAGTTGATTTTTAAAAAGCTAATTTTATTAATTTTAATTTTTAACTTTTAACTTTTGTTCCTGATGTTAAAATAATGTGATTTCAACAATTGTAATAATATGATTTTAATACGGCTATCTTTAAAAATTTAAAAATATTAGAGATTTCAAATGTTTTATTAAATGTTTTGCCAAATATCTCACGTAGTGTTGGATTCATATCATATGGGTTGAGTCATACACTATTTGGTAAAATATTTGATATAATATTTAAAAGGCAGTGGCTTTGGTCTAGTCTAAGATCGGACTAGACCGTGCTGTTGGGCCCATGGGGGCCCACCATGGGTCCCGTTTTGATAATCCGAACCGTTCAATGTGTAGAACTCGTTGAGTGCTATATGCCTATAAAAAATCACATTGATCGGATATCGACAGCTATGTGAACAAAACAGTTTTTTTATCAATCGTTAATTGTTTCACCGTCTATTTTTTTTATATAAAACTGATTTGATCACATAGCTATTGATACCCGATCAATGTGATTTTTTATAAATATGTAGTACTCGACGAGTTCTACACATTGAACGGTTCGGATTATCAAAACGGACCCAAAAAATGGGCCCCATGGACCAAATTGGACGGATTCAATCTTGATATCAACTTGAGACAAGCTGGACCTTATTTAAAATTCCTAACATTACTCTTAGAAATTAGACAATATGCTTTTAAAATTACAGTGGTCAAGGTAATGATGCTGTGAGCTAATAGCCAAATATTTTTCCTGGTCAAAAAAAATAAGGCTAAGTTTGGTATCTTTAAAAAGAGTCAAAAAGTCAAAAAGTACTATCATATTTAAGTCACATCATCTTATTTAAGTCGCATCACTTCTCTATCGCGTCACTTTAAACTCAACTCATATTTTATAAAAAGTCAAAAAGATTTAGAACATTCCAAACAACCAATAGCCAAATATTTCAAGCTATAAGTGTGTAGTCATAGAGGTTTATATGCCTAGTTAACAATTTATGTTTAAAACCATTATGAGTTTTGGAAAAAAGCAAATTATTATACTTTTATGTTTAATCTTGTTCTACTTTTCAAAGAATGAGACGGTTGTACTGCAAACAAACTAAGTCAAGGTGAATTTTAGTATATATTTGGGTTTCTTTATTAAGATTTTAATGAATTTAAACTCGAATTTGAACTGAATAAAAATTTAACGAATCGAGCTCGAGTCGAGTTGGCTTAGACTTGACTCGAGCTCAAGCCTGCTTACAAGCCTCTCGAGCCTGTTTATAAGCCTTAACGAGCCAAAAAAATTATAAATTTATACTTAGGTATGACACTAAAGTTAGAATTAAAATTTTGATTATACGATTATATATATAATATATATAAACATTCTAAAAAAAAAAGGTCAAACCAGCTTGTTTGGTTTTGGATTCTATAAACACTTTTCAAAAAAATTCTACTTGTTTATTTTTCTTATTTTTTTGTTTTTAATAATTTTTAAAATATTTTAATCATTTTTTTTAGACACACTTAACATAAATACACTTAAAAAGTATAATTTTTGTGAAAAAAAAAATATTTAAAAAATTCACTAAATACCAAAAATGCAAAAAAAAAAAGAGTACATTTTTCATATTTTTGTGTATTTATTCATTTTTAAAAATATTTTTTCACAAATATTTTACTATTTAGATATATCTAAGTAAGGTACATCTTAAAAAGTATAAAAATTGCTTAAAATTTAAAAATTATTCACTAAAAACAAAAAAAAAAAACACAAAAAATAAAAAACTCAATTTTTAGAAAATTGAATTTAGAAAACTGTTATTTAAATGTACTATCTATAATTAACTGTTATTTACATTTATATTTTTTTAATATATAATAACATATTTATCTTATTTTTTATAGATATTTTTATATTATTTAATATATAAATAATAAATACTAAATGAGCCGAACTTTAAAATGTCTGAATTTTTTTATTAAAAATTTAACGACCCCGAGTTTGAGCTCGAGTATAAAAAAATTTAACAAACCGAGTTCAAACGAGTTCTTACAAAGCCGAGTTCGAGTCTATTCACGAACAATTCTATTCATTTACAGCATTAGTTGTATCTTAATTTTATTTATTTAAGCACCTATTTTGAATGGATGTTTTAGTTCCAATTTTTAGAAATTATTTGTAGGCTGGTTTTGTTTGTTTTTGTATGTAATAGTTCACGAATGTTGCCGAAAAATTCGAAGGCTCGCCAAAGAACTCGAATTCTCTAGAAATAGTGAGAGGCTAATTCTCTAACAGTCATAACTAGAAATACAATAGCAAAGAGATGCTGGAGATGAAAGATTGGGTGAAAAAAAAGCCAAAGTAGTTAGAGAAAGAATAATGGCAAGGCTTGTCAACATAAATTTCAAAACATAAACCTCACACTTTAGATCATTTACCATGTGTATTATCAAGAAATCAAGACAAAATGACATACCTGAATCCATTGATGAACGGTTAAACGGAAGCGTGATTATCAATGAACTCTTTGTTATTGATTATGTTATTGCCTTCTAATCCTTTCCCCTTTGGTGCCTTATGTTTCTCCTTGAGAGGATTTAGAAAGAAAAATGGCAGTGTTCTTATTTTTCCACTTGGGAAGGAATAGGGACCATAACCTTTTAAAGGTTGTAATTGGTTTTCAAAACTGAAAGGTTGTGGAAGTTCAAAAGGAATGAAAACCAACTTTAACCAATATGTTTTAATTTCTATTTCTGCCCCTCATAGAAATAGAAATTATACAACTAGTATCTACACATTAGGTCCATAACACATATACCCTTAAACCTATTAACTAAATTGAATCACTTAAATTGTAAGCTTCTTATAAATGATAACACCACATTTAATTATGTGGTCCCATTGAGACATTATCTAACAAAGGTAACTTTCTTTGCAAAATCAAAGCCCTAGCTTGAAGAGAGAGCGAGAGAGAAACACCACAGAACTTTAAGCAAAACCAAAAATCTGAGTCGGTCACCGGGATGAAGTAAAAATGATGAAATGAAAAAGAAGTTGAAAAGCAAAAGAAGGAAAAAAAAAAAAAAAAAAAAAAAAGACCAAATGCAAAAATTGGTGAATAGAGAAGAGAATCCCAATTTCGGGATGGCAACAAAGGGGATGAAGTTAAGACTAATCTTACTAGCAATGTGTTTTGTTTAAAGTTCAATTTTTGAATTTTTTTAGCATGGTTAAATACCTATTTGCTTTTCATCAACTCTGTGTATATCATATATTTGGTGACAGTGGTGATTTGATTTTTTAGCATGGTTAAATATTTATTTACTTTTTTTTGTTCCCCTAATATCTTATATTTCGGGATTTAGAAATTCAAAGAAAATTCAGAGAAAATCCAGAGAAATTCTATGGAAATCCAAAAAAAATCTCTATATTGGAATCGAGAGAATTTCTCTGGCTTTCCCAGAATTTCTCTGAATTTCTCTGTTCGTTCAAGTTTTATAAGTTGAATGAAGAAGAGCACAGATCGGCTGAAGTGACTGATTTGGGTGGGAGAGTATTGTTGGTGGGTACAGATTGCTCCTACTTTGTTTTTGTTGCAGAGTTCAATGGATGTAAAGGGAAGAATTGTGTTTTCTTCGTAGATGAATGTTGCAATCTGTATGATGAAAACTAGGTTGTTGATTCACTTAGTAGGCATCCCATTATTCAGTCAATGCCACATCAACAATAATCTCATACATTTTCATCCCAAGAGGTGATTAATTATTTGATCAAAGCCTTTTTGACAATACAAGACCTTATTAATTAAAATACTTGTTCTTATTAAATGTAGATTCACCTTTCAAAGAAAAAGAAAAAGAAGAACTAACGAGGTAAATATGAGATTTTGGATTTCCAATACTGATATTGACCGATATATAACCTGTAAAAATATCAAACAATTTATAATAAGTCCCATTTGAAGACTTCCCTTAGAATATCTCATACTTATTCTTTTTTATTTACAATCACGTTGTGTTGGAGGGCTTTAGGATCTATTTGACCCCTTTATTATTTTTTATTTTTTATTTTATTTATGTGTGCCTATTTGCTTCTTGCAAGGAGGAGATCCATCTCAATCTATTTTTGGAGGTATTATTTTCCAAGAGTCATATAATTCTTTTCTTTAGCTTTTCTTGGTATATATTGATGGGTTTTTGTTTTTTAATATGTTTTTTTTATTCATTATTCTGATTTTGTGCAGTTACATTTTTTGTTATCTTTACCTTTTGCCAGAGCTAATGCTTTTTGGACTTGTGTCATTGCTAATGGATCATTAGATCATTTTTGTGGCCAAGATTTGCATTAAATCATTTGTAACGCCCCCTAGCGACAGATGATGTTATTTCTATATACATATATAAATAGAATTGACGGGTCCAAAAAACAAATAGTTTTTTTTTTTTTTTTTTTATGATGTTCAAAATTAAACCGATCAAATCGCAAGATATATCTATATATATATAAATACATGATGTTCATCCATTTGAGAGGAAAAAAAAATTTGCCCACCGAATCATTTTACAATTCCAGAAAATAGATTGCCATTTTCACAGAACAAAACAGGGAAAAATAGAATTTACATCCATAAGAAAATTCAGAATCTGATTCCAGGAAACTAAATAAAATGAATAAAGCATATCAATTTTGATAAAACACATGATATGCTGGCTTTGATACCAATTGTCAACATAAATTTCAGAACATAAACCTTACACTTTGGATCATTTACCATGTGTATTATCAAGAAATCAAGACAAAATGACATACCTGAATCCATTGATGAACGGTTAAACGGAAGCGTGATTATCAATGAACTCTTTGTTATTGATTATGTTATTGCCTTCTAATCCTTTCCCCTTTGGTGCCTTATGTTTCTCCTTGAGAGGATTTAGGAAAAAAAATGGCAGTGTTCTTATTTCCACCTGGGAAGAAATAGGGACCATAACCTTTTAAAGGTTATAATTGATTTTCAAAACTGAAAGGTTGTGGAAGTTCAAAAGAAATGAAAACCAACTTTAACCAATATGTTTTAATTTTTATTTCTGCCCCTCATAGAAATAGAAATTATACAACTAGTATCTACACATTAGGTCCATAACACATATACCCTTAAACCTATTAACTAAATTGAATCACTTAAATTGTAGGCTTCTTATAAATGATAACACCACATTTAATTATGTGGTCCCATTGAGACATTATCTAACAAGGCTCTCCTATGGATCTTCCACTGAATCTCCCACTTTCACTCTCAAGATAGATAATGGAAAAGGGAAATTAGTTATCTCCCAATATCTCTCAAAAATCCATCCCGTGTAAGGTTATGGATAGGCACTATTTATAGGCACCTCATGATGTAGGATAGAGCCTATGTGCAAGGCACATAGAAAATATTCCCTCTAACCACTTTGTCTAAGGAGGTGACCTCTCCGAGGATAAGAAAAATCCCGAAGAGGAGATCAATCTCTCGACGAACCCTTATTCTTAACCACACCTAACCAATGATCCGCAATCATCCCAAAAGGTAAGGGGTAGTCGTGGAGGACGCCCTGCCGCAGAAGGGTTAGGGGTAATTCAAGAGAACACCCTACCGCAAATATTGTCGAGTCTCAGAGACCCCATAAATCGTGCCAACTTGACCCGGGCTAGTTTAACCGAAAAGTGAATTTATTTCCATTTACCGTCCTCGGGATCGGATCCTTTGTTCAGACTCCATTACGCCCATGGTTCTGATGCATAGATCCCGAAAAGCTCCGAGCCCACAAGTGTGTTGGGACTCATTAATGGCTTGGCTTTTAGATTGCATCCGAATCCATTTGAAGCCAAGCGCTTTGGATCTATAGGTTCGTAAATCCGAACATTTTCGAGTTCAAGTTCAAATAGGTCTCTAGGTTCGTAGTTCCAAACTCCTTCAAAAATAAGCAAATACCTCGGAGAATGGATCTCCTCTAAGAGTTTTTTCTCTTCTAAAAGTAACAGTTAACCTTATTGGATACTCGTATGATTTAGACCTCCTCGAATGAGCTTGTTGGGTTTTCTTTAGAGACATATGCTTGAAATGTATCCTCCTCGGCCCAATTTGTTGACTTTCTTGTGGACCTGTTCAATAGAATTCACTTGGTCCATTTGGCAATAATTTCTTCAAACTCACTAATTTATGGACTTTCCGATTGGGTTTCCATTGGGCCTAATTAATTAGTGGGCTCAAGCTAACCCCTCTTACAGTTTTTACTGTATTTTTTTCTTTATATTTTAGACATTTTTAAAAAATTGTTAGATGCATTAAGATTAGGTGCATATAAAAAACAAAAGAGTTTAATTAAAATATGGAGAGAAAAAAAATCGATAAAAACAAACGGGCACATGGGTTTCTTTTTGAATTTTCACTTATTTTTAATATTATTTTAAAATATTTAATTATTTTTTTAATAAAAATATTTATATGCATATTGATTAAGTGTGCTTAAAAAGTACAGGAAAAAAGACTAAAATATGAAGGAAAAAATAATTAAAAATAAACAAAATTTTATTTAAAAATAAATTTTCAAAAATCAAACCAAATTTATTTATTTAGGCACCTATTTTGAATGGATGTTTTAGTTTCAATTTTTAGAAATTATATGTAGACGGGTTTTCTTTTGTTTTTACTGTATTTTTTTCTTCATATTTTAGGCATTTTAAAAAAATTTGTTCGATACATCAAGATTATGTGCATATAAAAAGTAAAAGAGTTTAATTAAAATACGGAGAAAAAAAATCAATGAAAAAAAAATCTGAAAGAAAAAAAAAGGAAAAATTATTGAAAAATCTCATTTGGAAGAGTTTTAGTCTAAGGAGTCCTCATTGTTTTTTAATACTCTGGGAAGTCCCATCTTTTTGGTAACATGATCCACAAGATCCCATTTGCTAATTTTGGAATGGATTAGGTGACATGTTTACCCTTTCTTCGTGTAACGTTTTTAAAAGGATTTTTGAATTCCATTGCTTACACTTGCTTTGATGTGCATATTTTTGGAAAGATCAAATATGGGCAGGATTTTGTGGGTTTCTAGGGTTCATGAGTATTTAAATTTTGAAAAATGTTATTAAATGTGAAAGTGAACGTGAACGTTCTTTGAGGTCACGTTGCAGGTACATTATTGAATGATGTGAATGTGTGATGTAGCAACCATATGTATTGAGTGTATGAACTTACCATTTACGTTGAAAATAATACAATGATTTGTTACGAAATTGCATCAACACAGTAGGTGTTAGTATGTGTGACTGTTGCAATGTGACCATGTGTTTGGTGCCACAGATTTTCAAACGTGGCTCACCGGCACCACATCGCCACATAACATCACACAATGACCAATTGCACGAACCACATGAGAACATTTACACCCCAAACAACACCCAACACAAATCTATTAAAAAAAGAACACAAAAACACACGTCCATCGGTAAGATTTTTTTGTAGGAGATTCTGTATTTTTGGTTGATGTGGGGTTCACAACAGTTTCAAAATTCTAAAAACTAATGAAATTGATTTCAAAATCTGTGGTTGCCACATTTGGGATGAAGATTTGAACGTGAATCGATGGTCCATACGAGTGTGAAATAACCAAATGGAAATAATGAAATGTTACTACGGCAAAACCCTAGATGACCAATGAACCTATCGGCTTCCTCAATTTTGTGGTGGATGCATTTGGGTTGGATCCAAACCCCACAATGACGCATCTAGAATTTTGGATCCCATAGATGTGGTCACTACTTGCAAATGCAACGTCCTCTGGAGTTGGCAAAAGCCATGACCTAATTGAATATGGGACATCCAAACCAAGACGATGAATGTAACATTGTTTGTGACAAATCACTCGACAACAAACACACCGAATCAAGGATGTTGGTCAAAACCCTCAATTTCTATTGGGCCTGAAAACGTTTGATGTACTTTCCAAATGAGGATGGCGCAAGATCAAACCGGATGCGATCTAGTTTCAGAAAACCCTAAAATTTGCACAATTGGAATCAAAATGAAATTTACTGTTGAAGTTTTCATTTTCTTCGATCGGACTGAATGTTGGACAACATATCTAATGTTGTTCCATGCGTATGGTGGTAATAACGTTGTCGTGATGCTCGACGTGGCGTTTACGTTCACATTGTAATCCACACTAGCACAACACCCTTTACAAATCTGCCAACAAGATTGCCTCATCTATCAGTCCCAACTCGATGTTGTCCACCAACAAACACGCCTAACCCAAAAAGAAGGGATTCTCCAAACAATTTTCCTAAATTACCTTGTTGTCGTAACTGGTTTGGCCTCAAGACACCAATCACGACGACCATGGGGGTTGATTCATGCATGTAGAATGGAAGGTGGACAGTTTCCGAGCAACATCGGCGACTGATGGTTTTCTGAAACTTCTACCACATCACAAGGTTAATCAAACGGTGTGGACTACATATACCATATCATCAACTTCGGATACGGGGTAGGTTGACCTAACGGAATTATCGTCAAAAAACATTCTGGGTCGGGAATTGGGTTTCAGTGTGGTGACGTGGGTATACCAATCCAACGTATCAAAGCAAAAAGGTCTATAGGAAGCTTTTCCATAACGTGGCAGGCCAATCTAAACAACTCAACATTCAACTCATTAACTATGGGCAAAAACGTAATACAATAAAAAATGGGACTTCTCAGATCATAATAAAACAAGAGTGCTGTTATTAGCACCTGCCAAAATTCTTTGGACCCCCCGTTTTATAATTTTTTTTATTATTACAATTATACCCTAAAGTAAAATTACATTAAAAAACATTATTAAATGGAACACCCACCTATCAATAAGAACTAATATTCTATAATATTGGACACCCACTCCTATCCCCACCTCCACCTCCAACTCCAACTATACGTATTCCATGTTTGTAAACCCTAAACCTATTACTTTTCATAACCAACTAATATAAACCCTAAATCTATTATTTTTCATAATTATCTTAAATCATGAATGTGTCATCTTCATCACCATTATCAACGCTATTGAACTTGAAAGTTTTGCTTCAAGTATAACGTATACTTCATCACTTATTTCACTATGTAGACCGGCGTTCAATTGGTAAGTTTATCTGTCTTGTATTAACATTTTCAGTCATTTTCGGTCGTTATTGTTTTGTTCGAGCTGTTCGGTACTAGTTTGCTGACTGTTAGAATTATGTTCGGTAATACAGTACTGAACATAATCCTTTCGTTCAATACATAGGTTCAAAACATTAATGCAGATAGTCAGTTCTGTAATTTTCTTTGTTAAACTAACTTAAGATGAAAAATAGTGAATTGGAATTAATTTAAGTTATGTATTTTGAATGGATTTAATTCATGTTATTTTAAGTTGTGTGTTGGAATGGATTCAAGTTATACAACGATGAACAAATTTTGTTCGGACATACAGTGCTGACATGATCATTATTGTTCGACAAAACAGTTCTGAACAAAATACAGTTTTTCGGCTACATAGTGGTGAACAAATTGTTTTGGGCTACATTTAGAATTCTGATGGCGATTCAGATGATGATTCTAATGGCGATTCAGATGATGATTCTATTTTTCCTCATCTTGCAAACGGTTATGCAAACCCCGTAGAAATTGGAGTATCTTCGATCGATCTCAGCGATGACGAAGATACAAAAAGTAACGAAGAAGATGATGATGAAAGGATGAGAGAGGTTACTAATTCGGCGATACGGAGAGCGTTCAGAGAAGATAAGAGTCGTCGGAATGCTCCGTTAACGGTCGAGACGGCGACGAGAGTGATGGAGGGTTAGGGTCCAAGAATTCTATATTGGACCAAAGCTCCAAACTCTGAAGATTGAGTGAATCAGGAAAGGAGATGGATGAAAAATTAGGTGGATGTGCATTTCATTGTGAAAATAGTATGAATATGGGTAAATTTGGTAATAAATGGGGTGTGTAAAAAAATATTATTAAAATTTAGAGTTTAGGGTTGGGGTCCAAAGAAATGGGGGGTCCAAAGAATTTTGGTAGGTGCTAATAACCGCACTCTAAAACAATTGAGACTAAATGGTTTATAATTCATCCATATGAGATTTATAGGTCAATTCCCCCCCCCCCAAAAAAAAGCACATAGGTTCCAATCCGTACTTTCATTTATTTTTAGTATTATTCTAAAAATATTTAAGTATTTTTTTTAAAAGAAATATTTATATGCATATTGATTAAGTACATTTACAAAGTACGGAACAAAAGGGCTAAAATATGAAGGAAAAAATAATTAAAAATAAATTTTGAAAAATCAAACTAAATAGACATTGAATATTTCTACTAAGGTTTTGAAAATCAGACCAGTGAGCGAATCGAAAAGGGACTTCGTGGACGGGTCACCGGTTCAACCGTCGGGTCAAAGCGGTCGAACCATGACATCATAATTAATATTATATAAAAAAATATAATTATAAATTATAATAAATAAAAATATATATAAATACTCAAATAAAAATAAAAATTGTTGCATAGTATTTATTAATAATATTTAATAAATTCATAATTGATAAGAAAAAGTCATTTGTTTTAAAGAAATTAATTTTTTTTAACATTCCTTCCAAACAAATTAATTGAATGCTAGATTTAATTTTGGAGGGAAATGAAATTTTCAACTCTCTCTCTAATCAATATTAGTCAAATAATTTGAATAAATCCCATATAGAATTTTGTAGGTTCTCTTTGAAAAATCTTTTCTTATAAATAGCAATAGACTTTCATAATCTACTTAAGCTTCAATGAGACTTCTCCTCATGAAAGGAGACTCTTCAAATAGGATTTTTTAGTCAAAATTTTGGAATATATATATATATATATATAATATATAAGAAAGAAAGAAAGAGAAAAGACCAGAAAGAAAAAGAATAAAAGATTTTCCAATTGTCGGGTCAACTCAAAACTGGTACTGGGTCACTGGTCTTCTCAGTTGAATAGGAGGTTCTATCGATTTTGACAATCTAGGATAGTTTTCAGCCTAGTCCGATTTTGAGGTATATATATATATATATAATATATAAGAAAGAAAGAAAAAGAAAAGACCAGAAAGAAAAAGAATAAAAGATTTTCCAATTGTCGGGTCAACTCAAAACTGGTACTGGGTCACTGGTCTTCTCAGTTGAATAGGAGGTCCTATCAATTTTGACAATCTAGGATAGTTTTCAGCCTAGTCCGATTTTGAGGGTTCTTTTGAACCGGAACTAAGCCTGGGTCCTGGTCTGACTGACTGGTCCGGCCCAGGTTTTAAATCATTGATTTATAAATAAATTATATTTTAAATATTATAGTGTACTATCAATTGTCTTAGACTACTAATCAATCACGATAGTTGTATTTAGTTCAAGGATTTTGAGAAATATTTTGAAATGAAATGGAAAAATAATAGTAAAATATGAATAAAATATATCTATATTTCACATGATTTTACGCACATTTTTCATTTTCCTTTCCAAATCTATTCCAAATCCATGAACCAAATATATGTTTCTATCCCAACTACTAGTAATAAAACAGATTTATCGTAATAAAAATAACTAGAAAGTTTTTTGTGTTTTTGAAAGCGTTGAGTAACTTTCCAAATGGCCTGCGGACAAAAATTCAATATTACCCAATTTGTTTCATGGTCCGTGCCAGTCTGCTTGAATGTCTAGCCTGTCTAACTCATAAAAGATGATTTAGGGTTTTGGACAAATGTTTGTAATCCAAGTCTGCTCATAAACTCATCCCATAAAAGTTCGAATGGGTAATTCTAATGTTTAATGTTTTTTTGGGGGGGTCTTACATTTACTTTTATTTTTTGTTCTCGTCTTTAAAGTTTTTTGTTTTTTTTTTCTTCTATGTTTTTCCTTCCCTTGTAGGTATTATATTTTACTAGATTTTATTTTATTTTTTAAAATATTGATTTAAAAAAAATAAAAAATAAAAACTTGAATTATGTTGAAAAGTAAACAAGAAAAATAACTAATGAAAATATTTAAAATATGTTAATAAAAATGTGTAGAATTTAATAATACAAGGGTAATGAAAAAATATATAACTTGATTCAATATGATTTTGAGCCGTAATATTTAAATTTATGAGTGGAGCGTAGTTTTAGTTTTTTTAAATAGGTTTGCTTTGTATCAACGCCATTGACTGCTTAAAATTCTGAAAAAATGTTAAAATATGAGATTTGGACATAATTGGGTAAACTCGGCCCATCTCATTAATAGTGCTGAGTTTTAAAGATTAAGGCCATGTTTGTTTGGCCTCTTAGTGGAGGGGATTGAATTAACAATCTATAGGTCCATTAAAACCATGTTTGGTTGTGCTTAAATGTTGTTAGACTATTAGTTAAATTTGACTACCAATCCCAATTGAAATCCCCCTGAGTGTGAGAATTGCATACCCATTGGGGAGATAGGTTTGCTAATCCAATCCCCTTGGGTTGAAAATAAAAGACCATTTTTAATATTATTATGTTTTAAATAATTTATCAGTGAAAGAAATATTTATTTTTTTTAATAAATGCTAAAAAATATAATTTTTTATATTTAGTAAATTTTTAAATAATTTGTAAGCAAAATTTATATTTTTTTATAACAATAAAATAATAATTATAATATTAAAAATTACTAAAAATTTAAAAATATTCAGTGTGTTTGGTTTGAATTTTCTAGATTAAGTTTTTTGAAAATTGAATTTTTTGGTTTTCGTATTCTTTTGTTTTTAGTGAATATTTTTTAAATTTTAAACATTTTTTTTACTTTTTTTAGATACACCTTAGTTAGATGTATCTAAAAAATAAAAATTTTGTAAAAAAATATTTTAAAAAATTAATAAATACATAAAAATATAAAAAATGTGTGGGTAATTTTCTGATCACACTGTCCGCCTAATAATCAGCCAGAGAGCACTGGCAGAATAGATGGCTTCAGCTAACCTGTAATAGAAAGAAAAGGCTCCGGCGGTGGCTCTTCCACCCGGGGTACTCCGACGATCAACTCAGTATATCTCTCAAAGATAATCAAGTGCTAAACTCACTACTCAAAGCATAAAATTACGTACCTTAGACCCACGGGGGTGCCTCTCTTTTATAGCCAACTCAATCCTGATCCCACTAGAAGCCCGACTTCTATGGACTCCCATTCAGTGCTTACTTAGGATTTCACAAGAGATAAAGATAAACTCCCTAAGAGCTTTATCCTTATTTTAGCAAAGTTCCCTCTTTACTCTAGGACTCTTGCCCCTTAACCATTTATCTCGGATTCCGATATCTTTGGAGATAACCTCGGCTTTGCCGAGATAACCTCGGCGTCAAAACTCGGACACGTGGCACCTCGGCTGACACATCGGCGTCACCTTTGCCCACGGTGTTGGTATTCAGAATAATCCCAATACTGCGCTGCCTAGTTATTATCCTTCGGCATTCTGAGGTGATGGAACCTATATCTGTATTTTCTTCCAGTAAATCGGCTTAAAATTTAATAGCCGAGATCATTCATTTCAGGTCGACATGCTTTCCCTAAAAAATCAAGATTTTTAAGGACCTTCTTACGCGCATGAGCTGTCATGCATTTCAACCCAACCGTTTTAGCCACGCGTTTCCCTCTTACTGGTCCGTACACATGACGCGCCTATTAGCCGCCTCTTTCTTTGTGCACCGTCTGACGCCCTCGTTCTTCTAGGCGTATTGATTGCTTTTGCCGCCATTTCTGTTTAATCAAAAACTTTTCCCCTTTTTTCCGTCTCTTCACTTTTTCATTCGAATCTCTTGTTATCCCTCTCTAGCTTTCGAAACCCTCAATTGCTCAAGCTTTCAAAGCTCTGCAACCTTCTCTGTTTACCCCTTTCGGTGAGATTTCCACCGGTCTTCTGCTCCTGCAACTGTCGTAGGACAATGGCAAATCCCTTTCCGGTTTCCCTTTTTCTGGTAAGCTACTGTTCTTTTCGTTTTCAATTCCCTGATGTTTTTTCTTTTTTTGCTGTTGCCATTACTGTACTGTTTTAAGCTTTTTTAATTCATAAATTGTACATCTGAATGCATTCATCTATGATTTTGACTTTGCCCACATTTTGAACACACGCACTGTTTCGCCACTTCTTTGCACTTTTGCCACTGTTCTTGGCCATATACTCTTGTATTCTTCATGTTCTTGATAGCCCATCTTAATTATTGTTTCTGAAACTTCGTTTTTGTTTTCTGTTTTTTGCATCTTTTTCAGATCCTTGCTTTCAATCCGTGTTTCCATGGATTTAGGTCTGGGATTTGTCTGTAGAACCCATAACTTAGGAAAAAACTGAAACCTGCACCTACCTTTTTGTTTTTCGAGGTCCCAATAGCCTTTCAAAAACATCTTCTGAGACCCACCTTCTAAGATTAAGCCGATATCATGGGTATGTGGGAACATAGGATAAACACCCCCTCCAAACTAGAATACTTTAGATAGGAGTTTGAGATCCCAGCCGACGTCCATTTGAGGTTGGCTAGGGATGATGACTCCATCATGCCCACTGTTGACTCCATGCCTTTCTCCGTAGTCGCCTTTATCGAGTGTGGACTTCGGCTTCCATTAAACATTTTGTTCCGTGAGGTTCTCTATTACTATAAGTTGAACCCTATGCAACTGGCCATCAATTCTTACCGAGTGATCAATGGTGTTATAGCCCTAGCTAAATAGGAAAACGCTAGGATCACCCTTGCCGATATCCAATATTGCTATACCATGTGTGGCCTTAACTTGAAAGAAAAAGGCTACATTTATTACCTTAAGCCGAGGTCCACAGAATT